GATGTCGGGAGTGAGAGCATGAGACTTCAGGCTTGAAATGAAGGCCAAATCTCTGCCTTCACCCAGATTAAGGCTTAGGCGTTAGGGTCCCTAGCGAATTAAACCCTAAACCCCATTAGCCCTATACTGTATACCGGCTCATAGAAGCAGCTACAGCTACGGGATCTGATGTTTGAGGCCGTAGCAATGCTGGCCCGGGACACGGCGTTGCGTGTCTCAGATGATGACAGGCAGTGAAACATGGATAGATTCACGGATGCAGCCTGCATCGCGCGCAGAGGTTTCCAGAGCTTCGGTTGTAGGAGCTTCGGGAATCGAGTTCTATGGAAAAAAAGACACCGAGAACACGAAGGCAATTTTGCGCCTTCCGGCTTGGACTCCGCTGAAGCTAGCTCGGATGTGCTGGGCAGAAGCTCTCACTGACAGTCATAAGCTCAGAAGCCCCGGGAAAATTGACTAGGTCGTTTAGGTAACTTCAGGTTTAGGGTCGAAGGTTTGGCGCTTTGATTCTGGGGATTGGGGGGCTCCTGCTAGGACCGTCATACTGTTGATGATAGAAATCCTCAGCATTACCTCAAGGGCCTTACACTATGGGAATTGTGGTATATTCCTTATTATGGGTAATGCAGGACTTATATCATCAACCGTAGAACCCTTATGGTATCCTTGAAGGACCCTTTTCGGCTGTAGCTCCGGGTAGACCCGCACAAAATCTCCCTGCACAGAGAGGGTGTCGGAAGCCCTGCGCCTCCGCCCCAGTCGTCAGGCTCAGGGCCTTGCCTTGTTTAAGGGGCGACTCAAACTCGGAAGCTGTGAGTTCTGCACGGGGAGCTCGGGGGTCGGGTCGCGGGAGCTCGGCTTCTGCCCTCAAACTTTCCCCCTGCCTGCAGCTGCCAGAGCTTCAGGGTCGAGTCGAAGCTGCCGCTGCACAGCACGGGCTCTCCCCGCAGCTTCGTCACCGTCAAGGCTCCAATCTCTTTGCTGTGGGCACTCTTGAGGTCGTGGACCTTCTCGCCGCTCTCCACCGCCCAGACGACGAGTCTACCCCCCCAGTCGCCGGCTGCAAGGTGGTTGGGTGCCAACAGGCACAGCGAGGAGACACTGTCCGTGTGGCCTTCGAGGACCCGCACGGTCGTCCAGCTGGTGAGGCTCCAGAGGCGCACGGTGTTGTCGACACTGCCACTCGCCAGGAGCTCGTGAGAGGCCTCGCAGAGGCAGCGGACCCGACTTGTGTGGCCACGCAGCTTTTGGAGCTCCTCGCCGGTGTCGGAGCTCCAGACTCGGAGGGTCTGGTCGCTGCTCCCGCTCACCAGGCTCCCGGCGCTGGTGCGGCACAGGCAGTTCACAGAGTCGCCGTGGCCCTTTAGCACTCGGCCGTCTTCCTCTGGCTCCGCGAGGTTCCACAAGCCGATGGTGTTGTCACCATTGGCGCTCGCGAGCTGAGTGTCGCTGAGCCGTGCCAGGCCCTGCACCCAGCCCATGTGTCCGCTGAGCACTTGCAGGGCCTCCTTGCTGCGGAGATTCCATATTCGGATCGTCTTGTCCCCGGACCCGCTGGCCAGGACCTCCTCGGACAGCAGGCACAGGCAGCACACACGCCTCTGGTGCCCGAGCAGCTTCGACGCAGACTCGTCGGTCCCACCGAGGTCGTGGAGAAGGATGCTGCCATCGCTGCAGCCCACCGCCACGCGGTTCGCTCCAGTGGTGCAGGCGCAGAACACCACCGAGTCGTGCTTGACGCTGCGCAGCTCGTTGGGATCCTTCGAGAAGCCGCGGATGCCCCAGGCCTTCAAGCAGGAAGGGTGCTCATGGTCTGGTGGCCGGGGTTTGGGTCTCTTGCAGTATCTCTCAGTCGGAACGGCCGCTGAACGCTTCCGTCGAGGTCCGTTTTTGTCATTGGGGAAACCCGTCTCAAGCCTTGGAAGCGTCGATGGGACGCCTGCCTCGGCTGGGTTCGACGAGGCGTATCTGACTCCACCAGAGCCCAGCCTCGACCTAGCTGGAACCCCCCTTCCCATCAACACAGGGCAAACCCGGCTCTTGTCGTACTGCATCTCTGTTCGCTGTTTTCGCACATGGGCCAGAATCGGAAAGCCACACTTAATTTCAAAGGGTCTCGCTACTGGTTTGGGTGGCCTCACAACGGAAACATCAACTCTGCCACCTCGAACGGCACGGGACTTCGATGTCAAAATGTTTCCACACACGAAGTGTCTAAAGCTCGCAAATGGTTAAGCGTGTTGCACACATACAAAAATGCTAAAGACCGGTGTCTCGCCGTTTAGGCTTTCTCCGGTCTAACCCGGGGTCCTTGCAAGGAATGGCGCACAAGCATGTGTGCCCATCCGAGGCCTAAAGCAGCCTTTGTCTTGTCTTCAATCGATACCAGTTGGCAAAGCTCAAAGGTGGAACTGCAAAAGGTGCGAACCTGGTCTTTATGTTGGGCTTGCCTGCAGACGACAAGGTAGCTTTGAAAGGAGCATCAGTTCAGCAAACACGCTGACCAGAAGAAAGCAACCCCCCAGGCCCCCTGCCCCGGGCCTGCAGCTGCCAGAGCTTCAGGGTCGAGTCATCGCTGCCGCTGCACAGCACGGGCTCTCCACCCACCTTCGTCACCGTCAAGGCTCCAATCTCTTTGCTGTGGGCAGCCTTGACGTCGTGGATCTGCTCCCCGCTCTCAACACACCAGACTCGGAGTCTGCCGTTGTCGTCGCCAGCTGCAATTTGGTTGGGCGCCAGCAGGCACAGCGAGAGAACATAGCCCTTGAGGCCTTCGAGGACCCGCACGGCCACCCAGCTGGTGAGGTTCCAGAGGCGCACGGTGTTGTCGCAGCTGCCACTGGCCAGGAGCTCGGCAGAGGCCTGGCAAAGGCAGAAGACATTGTCTCTGTGGCCATGCAGCTTTTGGAGCTCCTCGCCGGTGTCAGAGTCCCAGACTCGCAGGGTCCGGTCGTCGCTCCCGCTCACCAGGCTCCCGGCGGAGGTCCGGCACAGGCAGCGCACCCAGTTGCTGTGGCCCTCTAACTCTAGCACTCGACCGTCTTCTTCTGGCTCCGCGAGATTCCACAAGCGGATGGTCCAGTCAGCACTTGCGCTCGCGAGCTGAGTGTCACTGAGCCGCGCCAGGCCCAGCACCGTCTTCGTGTGTCCTCTGAGCACCTGGAGCACCTCCTTGCTGCGCAGATTCCAAACCCGGACCGTGTTGTCGCCGGATCCGCTGGCCAGGACCTCCTCGGAGAGCAGACACAGGCAGTGCACAGCCTTCTGGTGCCCGAGCAGCTTCGAGGGAGACTTGTCGGTCCCACCGAGGTCGTGGAGAAGGATGCTGCCATCGCCGCAGCCCACCGCCACGCAGTTCGCTCCCGTGGCGCAGGCACAGCCCACCTCCGAGTCGTGCTCGACGCTGCGCAGCTCGGACATCTGGGCGAAGTCCACGTCTCGAGTGCCAAATCTCGCCAAGGCCTCGGAAGCCGGCGTTGCAAACTGAGCCTTCGGACTCTGTTCCCGGCGCATTGGCCAAAATCCGATCTGAGTCCCAAAAGCCTCCTTCCCCCTCCCTCGCTGTGCCGCGCCTGCATGGCGTGGAAGGCCAACACCGGGTCCTGTTGGAGCTGGGCATCGAGCAAGTCCAGCGCCCAAGGTGCGTGCTGCACAGCCTGCGATGCAGAAATTGCAGACGCTCTAGCTCCAGCCACCTACACAGGTGTCTGCGGCATCTCACAATACCAGGCCACCTCCCCAGAAGCATACCCGTACCATGTGCAGCTGGCTTCCCTGAACCCCAGCGGTGCCCAGCAGCCCGCAGCATCAATCCATGCCTCGAAGGCAAGCTGCCGGTCGCTGCGCAGGCCGCCAGCGAACTCCAGCACCTCAGCCGTCATTTCTGTACCAACGTGGCCGAACCACAAAGCCTTTTGACACGGCCCCTCGACAGAGCCTGAGCCCGGTCGTCAGAGTTGCAAACAACATCCCCAAACTCCAAAACTCACCCTCTAGCTGCTCCTGCGAAAAACTGGCATCACCCTGCACAGATATTCCCAAGCACGGCCGGTTGGAGCCGCATTGCGTCTGCGACGAAGTCGCGGTCCTCGCGAGCTTAGTGGTCTCAGGTGCCAGAAGCCTCCTGGGGCAGGGTCTGTCGCTCTTCGGCTTTTGCCAGACTTCGAATTGTGGCGCTTTTGATCTGCCAGAGTTGTAGGTTCTGTGGTCTCGTCGGAAGACTTCTCCGAGCTGAGGTGCAGAGCTGAAGGCCTGAAAGAAAAGATGAAACAGGATCATCTCAGATCGCTTCTCAGTCACTTCGGATCGCTTCCTACTCTCTGCGTCCTCCCGAAAGCCCGCGGCGAACTCGAGGGCTCGGGGATGCCGCTGCACTGCATCCAGCAGGAAGGATCGCTCCGAGCGCAGGGCCTGCACCAGGCTTTGCAGAGAAGCCCTTAGCCCCTTCTCAAAATCCACCAAAACTGCGATGCGCGAAGAATTGCCTAGGGCTTTCGGCCTCCGGCGCATCGACCAAGCAGGCGGCATCGTGACTGATGCAGGCCAGGACCACGTCGCTGTCCTTCCGAAGATCCGCCGGGGCCTGGCTCCATGGGCAGAGGACACCAAAGAAGCTTGAATCGACTCTCACACACCGCTGAGGGATCGACACTACCCTCCCTGGCCTCTTGCAGTGCCTTTCTCACGGCATCGAAGGGTGGCAGCGGAAGTGTGGTGGGTCTGAGAAAGTCGGGCTCCTCTCGGAGCTTCTCTCCCAGTTCCTTGGGCCCCAGGCCCTTCAACACCACCTGCTGCAAGAATTCCTCCGGCGTTTCCAGCCCTGCTTTCTGGTGCAAGGCCTTGACCTGACCAGGAGTGGCCCCCAGCGCCAGGATGTCCGGCAAGGACACCAAGGACGCGTCCAGCAGGCCCACCCGCTCCTCCTCCAAAGGTGCCAGCAGCGACCAGATCGATGGGTCCTCGCTTCGCAGGGCCTCTGCCTCCAGCACCTCGCTGAGCGGCTTCCCATCGTGCCGGAGACCGGCAGCCGCCAGGATCTTCAGCGCCTTGCCACTCTTCGAGTGGAGCGCGCTGTGCACCAGGGTGAAGGTGCGGCGGGTTTCTCCAGCTGGCATCGTGGTGGTGAGGGTCAGGTCGGCATCCATGTCCACCAGAGCCCTCACGATGTCGAGGTGGACGGGCTGGAGGCCTTGCGGTCGCAGCAGCACTGCGTGCAGTGGCGGGTGCCCGTCTTTCACACTGTTGGAGGTGTTCGGGTCCGCCCACTCAGCCAGCAGCTGCTTGACCTTGGGAAGGTTCCCATCGGCACCTCGGCACAGCAGGAAAAAGGCTCAAGGCAACCGCGCAGACGCGCGCACATCACGAAGTGAGAAACGGTGCCGCGGATCTCGCAACATGCTCGAAGGTCAACAACGAGGCTGTCAGAACGAATCGGACGAGCTCAAACTGAAAGAGGAAGGCTGCTGCAAAAAAAACATTTGGGAGGGCTGGCTTCGGCCCTGGAGCATCAAGGCAATAGCGCCCACTTCAAAAATTATGCTTTTGCGCCGTTCCTATGTTTCTTATATCGCTTCCGTCTCTAGCCTGCTTATGCCTGCTTTTCTTATGGCCGCCCTTTCGTTGCCACGCACAGCGAGTATCGGAGGAGGCTTCATACACCTGCCTCGAGGAATGTTTGTAAGCAAAGGGACCTCTAAAATCAAAAGCCGCTCAAAAGAGGGCTCGAGTGTAAGCAACTGACGCTCAAGTCCGGCACAACCTCTTCTTCAACAAAGGGTCTGAAGAGCATTCTTTCGATGCGCTCTGTTCTGATGACATGCTCGTGCCCCCCGTTAAATGAGGTGCATGCCGGAAGCAGAGGAGGCAGCGAGAGATTGAGAGAGAGAG